CAATCACTTTTTGCAGTGACATTATAACGTCAAACAATCGCTAAACGAATGGTACTAAATCGAGGACTCTCTACATAATATACATTGGTCCAGTGAGCAAGCAAGAACTGAGGTTAAGAGAGGGAGGAGCCTGAGATGTTGTGGGAGGAGCCAAAGCAGAATGGGTGGGCCCATCGAATCAGGGCGGAGTCAGAGGTTCACTTTTCCTGGCCTTTCCCTTTCAACAGGAAAAAAATGAGTCCGCCTGAAAGGCATCTCTAGGGCCATTTGTGAACAATCTTTCAACTTTGAAGAAACCAAGTTGGGGAGAAAGGCCTGGTGGCTGAAGAAGAAGTCGCTGGAAGTAGAGAAACTCAAGCTTGCAAGGGGAGGGTGTCCCTCTCCAACTAGGCTTCACAAGCTCATCCGTCCCCAAAAGTGTGATACTCAAATGGCATGTCAGGTGACAGGGCTGACCCCCATTAAATGAAAACTAGCAGCAGTGTGCCCACCCAGCCAGAAAACATGTCTCTCTTGCCAGGCTAGAGATTTCAACCGTACAGTTTAAAAACAAGAGTATAACCTTTGTCTCTGATGGCACCAGCTGTTTGCTTCCAGCCGGCAACATACGTTTTCCAGGTTGCTGTGTGGATAGCTCTGGCTCAAAAAATAGAAACTCTCTATTATAATCTATGGATTATACAAAGCCTCGGCATGGATGAGGTCTTAATTTTCAAGAGGACATCTGTTGGAGGCTGTGAAAGCCCTGGTCCTTTGAGAGCTTGTCCTAGACTCCAGCTTCTGTTCCCTTTGCATCCAAAACACTGAAAATATCTGACTTTGGGAAAAAAAATTGCATTACGATGCTCTGCTGGGCAAATGTTTTAAATATTTTGCATTTGAAGGTTGGCTAAAGATATGAGCTGGAGGAGGTTTGCCTGCCCAAAATCCAACCTGCAAGTGAAAAACATCTGGGGGAGAACAGCCCCTTTGACAATTTTTAAATTTCATGCTCCGGTCTTTGTAATCGTGGCTTTCCACACCACTCCGATGTTATGGAAGCAGACAGGGTGAGTCAAAAAAGTCGAGCCATAATCACATGAGGAAAGAACTCCTTTTAGATGTGACACTAACCCCCCCCACCCCCCCACCCCAAAAAGCAGGGTAGCTCTGGCTAACATACCCTCCAGAAAAATGTGATGCCTATTTGATTGTGGCACAATCATAGAAGTTGGCCATCTCTGTCTATGACCTGCATAGGTATTACTCGGATAAACATTTGCAGGAAAAAAACATTTGACATATGAATCTTATAAACCCCTAAATTTTTGCCTATCAAATTTTATTATTGTTTGTTCATTTACTTGGTTTTGGGGCATCCCCTTCTGACCTCAGATTTATTTATGCCGGAGGTGTCCAACCTTGGCCACTTGTAAGACCCGTGGACTCCAAATCCCAGAATTCCCCGACCGGGAGTTGAAATCCACGGGCCTCAAAATGGCCAAAGTTGCACACTCCTGATTTATACATTTAATTATGGCCTAAAAGGAAGAAATGCAAACCACTGGGCTCAAAACAACCTCCCTTTAAAAAAAATGCTAACGTTTGTGTATATATAGTAATTATAATATGTTCTGTTATATTTCAGTATATATAATATTGTATAATAATATTAGAAGTTGAAAAATTACAATTATGTATATCTAAATAATAATATCATTAGAATCGTATGTAAAGTATATTGACCCAGACATACACTGTCTACCAGGTATTTATGGATGTTAAAGGAAAAATCATAAATAAAATTATATTGGGCTATGGATTTTTTATATAATTTTATTATATACCAATTTTATATATTGGTGGGGACCACAAAAATTTTTTTTCTGCTTTCTGAGGAGGAAATTTTTTTTTTGGGGGGGGGGGGAATGGCTCGGCTTTAAAAAAATAAAAATATAATTGCCTACTAAACCATGAAAGCTTATCATAGGATGCCATTCTTTTGCACATGGGGAGGGCAGAATCCATATTGCCTCATTTTCTGACAGAATTTTGGGGAAATTGTGGCCTAAAATTGGAGTGGCCTCAGATAAAGGATGAAGGTTACAGGTGTGCAGGTATATTGTTCCTCGCCTACTTTTGGGAGATGTTTAAATTGGCACAGGTCCCAGAGCTTTTAAATTATATTGTGATTTAAAGCTGAGGTGAATTTATGAGGCACAAAAATTGCCCCCCCCACCCCCCCCCAAAACACACATAACCCCTTCCCCCTCTTTCTCTCACCTGAACCCTTTGCCTCAACTAGAGGCGTCTGGTCTCCTAGCAACCTCAAGATGGCCTCCCCCGCCCGGGCGGATCTCTGGTTCTTGTAGTCTCCGCGGCCTAACTTCTCAGCATGGCGTCCCAACTCGGAACTACATTTCCCGAGAGGCGCCGCGGGGGGACGAGAGACGCGGGGCCAGGCGGGACGGCGTCTACCTGGGCGAGGTGAGAGGCGCCGCCGCGGGGGTCGACGGGAAGCGTAGTTTCCTGCCCGATGCGCGGGCGGGCCGCGGCGGGGCCGGCGGAACTACAAATCCCAGGGAAGAGCGGGCGGACGCGAGGTAGGGCCACCGTCTCAGGGCGGGGGGTACGAACGGGAGCCGGTGGCGCGGTTGGCGGCCGCGGCCAACGGCTGCTCCTGCGCCCGCGCGCTCAGGTGAGACCGCGAGGGGGGGAGGCGCGGTGGGCGGGGTTAGCGGCGGCCCCGCCCTTTGGGGGGGCGACATCGCGGGCGATCTCGGGTTCTTGAGGTGGCTTATGGGGACAGGTGTCCAGCTCTGGCCTTGGGTACCCCCCCGAGGTGGGATGGCATGTCCGTTTCGCCTGCAAGGCGCGGGATTGCAGCACCCAGCATCCCCTGCCCCCCTCCAGGGGGATGGGGCTCCTGATCCCCGCCAACAGGCGTGCAGAAATCGTGCTTATGCAAGGCTTTGCACATGCGTAGGAATCAGTACCCATCCTCCCCTGCCAGCTTGGTCCATTTAAAGCTTAGCACCCATCCTCCCCTGCCCGCCTTTCCCAATGCCGTGCCTTCTAGATCAGCGGGACTACCATACCCATCCTCTCCTTCCAGCAGATGCAGTGCCTTCCAGATCTGGGGGAATGCAATACCCATCATTCCCCACACCAACTCATCGCGCTGCTTTCTTAGACCACTCTGCCCATCATCCCCTATCAGCACGCCTTGGGCCGCCCTCCTCTGCTTTCCCATTCAGGCCTGACCAGAAGTACGTTTCCCATCGCTCCCAGCCAGGCTGACCTGGGAGTTGTAATTTTACGTGTAATTTTATGCTTCTGATGGTCACTTGGAAATTCGGCTCTTGGTTGTCTTTTAAAAATCCTTGGCGATTTTTAATTCGGGCTCCCAATTTTTAGTTCCTTTTTATAGGGGAGGAGGAGGAGGAGGTGGTCTTTGTCGTCAGGGTGCAGATCCCCCTACTCACAGCCATCTGAGCTGCTCTAAAACTTGATCTGGGCTGAAAAAAAGCAGAAATAGGAAGTTGCCGCCAGAGAACGAGTGACCTTTGCAGCAGGTACACAAAAGAACTAGCTAATCAGCGGCAAAAAAAAACATGAAAAATTCCCCCCAAAAATGCAACTGGCATCCTAAGCGTGCAAAGTTACACTTCCTTTCCCTTATGTGGCCAAAGGCCACCTTAAAGGAGATGCCACCAGACTTCCTGTAAGTTAGGGTGGTGGCTTCTTAAACCGCTTTTGTCTTCTAAGAAAACAATCAGGCAGTGCCTTTTCTCTGGCGCGCCTGCTCAAGGAACAGTTTTCCCCATTGATTTCGCTTTGGGGAGGGCGTAAACCTGTAGTTTTTAGGCCTTCCTCCTCCTTCCCTGCCTTCATGAGAACCAGACGGAGCAAATGCTGGGTAGAACAACACAGGATCTCAAGGTAGCTGGTCACAACTTTGCTTGCCTCCAGTGTGACATTTCTAATTGTCAAAAAAGAGCGCTAACGTATCCTTTAGTACACCAAATAAAGATGAAGTACTATTCTGTAAAAAAAAGAGAGAGAGAGAAAGAGAGAGAGAGAGACTTTCCAAGCGACTGCTAAAATCCTCTGTTTTGGGCTCCCCTTTAGAATTTCCAGCTAAAATGGATTTTTTCCTTCAGGGAATGAAATTCCTGAATTGGTCAAAAGAATGCTGTTTGGTGTCCTCAAGAGAGGGGAAAAAATTGTGGAATTGGCAAACTAGAAGAATCAAGAATCAGAACAGAGCTGGAAGGGACCTTGTAGGTCATCTAGTCCAACCCCCTCCTCAAGCTGGGAGACCCGATACCATTTCAGAACCTCCAGTGATGAAGCACCCACAACTTCTGGGGGCAAAGCTGTTCCACTGCTCTCCCTGTTAGGAAGTTTCTCCAGGTTGCTTCTCTCCTGGATCAGTTTCCATCCATCGTTTCTTGTCCTGCCTTCTGGTACTTTGGAAGATAAGTTTGTGGCAGCCCCTCAAATACTGGAGTACTGCCATCACGTCACCCCTAGCAAAAAAAAAAGCGGAAATAAAACCCAGGGTACATTTCTGTAGCAAGGGCCTTTATCGCGTCTCTAGATTGCTTGGGAAAATCCTCTCTTATTTAATGGAAGCTCGTGCAGCCTTTGGGTGTCTTGGAGGGCGAAAAAGAGCGAAATTCTCTCGGTGTCCTTTGAACTCGTTCCTGGAATGACTCAAGGAAAGTGATGAGTCAAAAACCGGGCAGGGTAACCAGCTCAGCAGGTTCTGGAAGTCTGGCCAAACGTTGTAAGAGAAAGGACATCTCCAACCAGCCTCCAATTCTAACATGTGGTTGAAGTTTCCAAGGTACCAATAAGCTGCTTCCCCTCTTTGAGATTTTGTTAATTTTTAATAAAATGGAACTGGTTTCTTTCTCTTTCTTTCTTTCTTTCTTTCTTTCTTTCTTTCTTTCTTTCTTTCTTTC